CCAGCGGCTGTCGGGACTCAGCACCCCGGCTCCTGCTGCTGCCCCTTCTCACTGACGGTGTGGACTAACTCCTCGCAGTCTCTGCAGGGGCAGCCGGGACGGTTTGAACTAACTCCTCGCGATCTCTGCAGGGGCAACCGGGACGGTTTGAACCGGGCCTCAGGCAGCCGTCAGAGCAGCACCGAGAGCGAGGTGAAGTCGCTGGAGCCTCGGCCGTGGAGCAGCACAGACTCCGATGGCTCCATCCGCAACCTGCGACCCCCCGTTACCAAAGCCAGCAGCTTCAGCGGCATCTCCATCCTGACGCGGGGGGACAGCATCGGGAGTGGCAAAGGCAGCGCCGCCAGCAGAACATCCCGAACAGGTACTGTGCTACTTCCCCGCGCGCCTTCTGCCGGAGGGCACCGACCAGACCTGTCTTTGGGCTGGGGAGTTGGGGCTCCTGGTGTTCTTGTCAGTGGCTCTGGTTAAAATGGGACGTTGTTGGCACCATCTGAATGTGTCCAGTACCTGGGCAGGGAAATGCCGGTTGGTTCATCACCTGCTTTTTCGGTACTCGCCGTCAGATCTTCCTTCCCTTTAGCAGTTGTCTAAGACAGAGGATGTTTAGTCCTGTATCCTGGAAGTCAAGCTACCAGTTTTGTGTTGTTTTCCCTCCCGTGCTGTGCTGCAGGTTACATTGCCGTTCCATTCTGCCCTCCAGAACCCCTCGCAGCCCTAAGGAGACTTGGTCAGGGAGCACCATCTGGCACTTTTCCTTGCTTTTCAACAAAGGAGTTCCTCTATCTCATCAGACAAAGACTGTTGGTGTCTGCCCAGGCTGTTCTCTCAAAGGGACTCGCTGTAACAGCGGGGAGCTGGGCCTGCGGCTCTTCCAGAGCTGTTGAATCCAGCTCAAGGTTTCAGGAGCGCCGAAGGGAATTAGGTTCACACGTCTCTTTGCCTGTTTCAGATCTGTTCCTCCTTTTCCATCTAGGTAACACGAAGGGTAGCCCACGCCTGGAGGATGTTATTGTGAGGCGTCACTGGTGATCTGTCGCTGACGACAGCATCCTCAGAGGATGTGTGGTGTGCTGGCAGGTCCTTTATTTTCAGCTGACTGCTTGGGAAAGGCATTTGTGCAAGGGGCAGCCCAAGTCTTCACTCTCGTTTTAATGGTCCAGTGGTAACTGCGGAGCCGTGGGGTAGCTGGTTACGATTGCTGTGCAGTATCAATGAGCAAAATCCAGTGTTTTCTCGCTGTGTAGCTTCCTTCCTTCTCGACGGTAGGCAGCAGATCCCCGACTGCTCGAGAGCTGTCCTTGTACTGGGGACGGGAGGCAGATGGGTGCTTGTGGGCGGTTAGACTGCTCCGCAAGAATCCTTTCAAATATAAGGGATGTATCTAAAAGGCAGCCAGGCTGCTGCTCTAGCACCCAGGCTGGCTTTGAAAACTGCACATTCATCTTGAAGTTTGAAGGTGCCTACATCATCTCCTGGGACTGTGTTTCCATTGTGCTCAGGGTTGCGCTTACTCTGATTATTGCAACCACCTCCAGGACTGATTCATCGACTGATGGGAGCAGTTATTTGAAGATCTGTCCCAGTCGTGTGCAAAGCAGAGCAAGAAAGGATCTGCTTTTTTGCTCTTCCTGTATTTTATATTCTGGGAACAGAAGCCAATTGCTCTCCAGCCTTTATATAATGGCAAGTGATTTAGAAACATCTCGGGGGGGAAAAAAAAAAAAAGGCAAAGGAATTTTCACTTTGGGGAGCTAAAAAAAAGTTAAAACCCCACCAACAAAACACCCTCCATATCCTCGTGTTTATTCTGTTGGGGAGGAAGTGCTTAGGACTCTGGGACTCCTTTCCCATCTCAGCAGTTCAGGCCCTGGGCAACTGTCAGCGAAGTATTTCCTTCCTTGCACCATGTGGCTGATGATGATACGACCTCCTTAGCAGAATGACTGGAGATTAGTTGTTGAAATGCCATAGATCAGAGGCAGGATTAGTTAAATAGCAGCTACTGGGCATCAAGCAATAGTTTCACAGCCCTTTTATTTCTGGAAGTAAGACTAATACTGAGGAGAGCACTTCCCAGCTTGGTGCCCTGCAGCATGTATTGCGCTCTTCCCTAACAATTTTTCCTACCATGGGAAGGAATTGCTTTCAGCCTGCCACCCCCCAGCCTTTCACTCCTGAGATGTGCAAGCGCTGGGTCTGTGTGGCCATAAAATAGGATTCCCTCACTCCCCTTTCTACTCTGGGCAAGCGCTCGAACGGTGTCTGAGCAGGGGCTGTGCCCCTCTGCGGAGCTGCGCCGCGACTGGGAGCAGCCTCGATGTCTTCCCCCAGGCAGGTGCGTGGCACAGAGCTGACACGAATGTGTCTGGCAGCTCCCTCTTTTTGCAATCTCTGCCTCACGCTGGTGCCCTCCGCCAGGCAGGGGCTGCTGTCAACAGTCACATTCCTCTTCCCAGCAAAGGGCATTTATGGAAGGCCCTGACTTGTGCTTTCCAGACAAGCCAGAGGGCACAGCACTCCAAAGAATCAATTGCAATAAAGATGGGGTTTACTACTGTGTGCAAATCCTGCCACCAAGGCCTGGCATTGGCCTTTGAGTTTCCTGGTGACATAACCTGCAGCCAGCTCCCCCTGTGCCTGTGGGAGCTTCCCTGCGGACAGCAGAGAATCACCCCCCCCGTCCTCCCCATCAACAAATCGATGTTTTTCTCTCCCAGGTATCAACCCTGCCATGCTTTTCTCTGTTCAAGGTCTGGTACTAGGTGCCCCTGAAGCCTGCAGCCCATCCACTTCTTCACAGCCCAGCCGTGGCCTCCTTCCCTGCGCAGCCCAGCAGCCTCAACCGCAGCCCCCCCAGCAGCCACCGCCGCAACCCCAAGGGCTCCCGCCCGCAGCCCCGCAGCAGCCAGCCATCAGTAACCACATGATGTCCCAGGTGAGTCTCACAGCACAGTATCCAGGGCTCAGAAATGCTTGGGTGCACGGGTGGGACGCAGGAGCAGACCCAGCAGACGCTCGGGGTGCTCTGTACTCTTACTTGCCCGTGGATTTTGGGTGTCCTCACACTCACTGCCTGTTAGGGAGGGACAGTCCCTCCATGCTGCTGGCAGAGAGCAGGAGGAGGAAGGAGCTCTCAGGAAAGCACTCGTGGCTGTCATTCCTGCACACTCTCTTCTGCCCCTGAGGCTGTGACAAAACGCAGCACGTGAGCTGCCCCGGTGTCGCTGCAGGACTGGGGACGGTGTGGGCGCCAGCCCTGGTGAGTTTGTGTCGAGAGCGAAGCTGCCAGCGAGTGCAGAGCTGGGTGCTGTGCATGGGAGGGAGCCCTCAGGACCTTCCCATCCTGTCTCTGCTGGACCTCAGCCTGCCCAGGGATCCTTTCTGGTGCATCACCTCATGCTTAGGATGTCTCCTGCAGCAGAGATCTACAAGCTACACTGGAGGTTTTCAAGATGTGACTGGACAGGGAGGCTGCGAGATAATCTTGTCTAGACTCCCTTTCCCAGGAAAGCTCGGACCAGATGATCTTCCGAGGTCCCTTCCAACCTGGCCGCTCTGTGATGCGACTGTTCCCAGTGGTCTGGGCTGGGAGGAGGAAGTTAAAGCCTCTTCAGACAGCTTGTACTGAAGATAACCCGAACGGCTCCTTGCTCCCTGTTGCTATATGGTTGAGGATGGGGGAAGCTTGTAATTTTTGGGGCCTGGACTGCCTCCAGGGTTGTGGATGTGTTTGCAGAGGATACGGAGCTCCAGTCTCGGTTCTATGGATGAGGTGTCGCCCTGAGGTGTAGCAAGGGTCCGGCACCAAGGCTAGCAGGGGTGTCTGTCGAGAGCTGTAGCGGGGCATGGGACAGAGCCCAGCGCCCTAGGTGGGAGGCTTGAGCACGCAGCAGACTTGTGGAGCTTGTGCAGGATCACTGTGTCTTGCTGGAGGTTTATTTTGTATCTTCTATTGTTTGGCTCTTCTAATGGTTTAGTTCCTGGAACAACCTTTTTTCCTGTGTTTTGACTGTTGGTGAAAGGCCTGAAAATGCACTATCCCCCATGGGCGTGCACCTTCTGTTCCACCAAAGGTCAAATCAGCAAAACAATCCACTGCTGACCCTTGCGGGTTCGATGCCCAAAGCACAGTGTGTGGTGCTTGAGTTAGGGGTTGTCAGAAACAGGCACCAGCAGGTCCTCCTGGTGACAAAGTGAGGGGGGCCTGTACAGAAGGCAGGAGGGAAGAAAAGACATCACCAGCAGGAGAGGCCAAGAAACGCTGCAGAGAACTGGGGGTCAGCACCAGACCCACGTGGAGTGGGGGACGCCCGAAGGCTGTGCTGGGAGGAGCAGCTCTCTTGCTGCTCTTGGCCACAGCCAGGCTTTGTCCGCTTGTACCCCTGGTCATGCCAGGCCAGAGCTGCTGTGGGGACACGTCCGCCTTCCCAGCTCCCGCAGAGCAACTGGCCGGGCTGCGTGTCTTCACGGAGAGATGAATGCTCCCCCAGTCTGGTCCCCGTGCTTTCCAGCCCCCTGCAATGCCCCCCTCTGTGTGTTTGCAACTGGCTCGATTGACTAACCTTGTTGTTCCTTCTTTCTCTCCTTCCTCCTGTCCTTCTTTTCCCCAACTCCCTGCCCTTTTCCCATCCAAATCTCTCCTCCGTTTCCTTCTCTACTGGTCTTAGCCGGTCCCAGCGCTGCAGCCTGTTCAGTATTCTCCAAGCTCCTGCCCCCAAGTCCTCTTGCCAGTCTCTCCACCCCAGCAGTACAACTTGGTATAAACCCCATTTCCTCTTCTGCACTGTCTCTGTTGTACTCATGTGCTGTGTTTGTGTTGTGTGAGCTTTTGCTGATCAGGTATGTCGTGGATGCTGCACTCCGTGGGTCGGGGATTCGCTGCAGTGGGGTCAAGGCAGTAGTGGGGTGCCTGAGGCTGTGGGACCCGCCAGGGCTGGGCACTGCTGGAGTGGCTGATCTTGGAAAGAGCCTGGGGAGGAGCAAATGCTGCAAGACTCAAGCCCAGAGCTCCACCAGGAGGTGACGCTTGCACCCAGCACTGGGGTCCAGGGGCCATGTGGTCTCAGTCAGCCCCTGTTTTGTTTCTGGGAACGGTGCACCCCATGGGTCACGGCCGCTGGGCTGGGGCTGCCCCTGCTTGTGTTGGGCCTCACATGTCACCGGTGTCCGCTGAGCACCCCCAGCAGCTCGCATGCCCCTACCCCCCATCCTGCAGAATGCTCTTTGTCTGTGGCTCGTTTCTGGGGACCTTTTTTTTGGGCAAGCTCCTCCACATAGGGTAGGGAGGAGGGGTCTGCAATCTGCTCAGCAGAGCTGTGTCCTACGTGCTGTTGTCCTACGTGCTGTCCTCCTCCATCCTTCCCCCTTATCTCCAACGCAGGCCGATGAGCTCAGCAACCCTTTTGGACAGATCAACCTCAGCCGACAAGGCTCTGCCGAAGCGCCGGATCCTTCCTCGGCTATGTTCCAGTCATCCCTCATCTCCCAGCACCCTCAGCAGACAGGATTCATCATGGCAACCCCTGGGCAGCCCATTCCCACCTCCAGCTACTCTGCCTCAGGGCATACGGCCCCCACACAGCAGGTGCTGCAGCCCCAGGGCTACATTCAGCCCCCCCAGCAAGGAAGGACCTAAAGGATGTGCTCCTTGGCCCCGAGCTGTCAGGCGAGGGGCTGCTGGGGAGCCATCCAGAGAACAGTTCCTTGAGAGGGGGTTCCTTCTTTTTCTGCTGCTCCTTTGTGATTTATCAGTATGCAGGGGGCCAGGCTCCAGGTCGGCACTCACCCTTGCTAGGCATAGGGTGGTCTCTGCCCCCATGTCCCTCTGAGCTCCCGAGGCACCTCTGGGACCCCTCTGGGGAACCCTCTGGCCCTTCCTGGCTCATGGTCATGTAGCTTTGTAGTGTTGCTGGAGGGACCGTGACCAGATTCAGGGCTGACACCTCTAAGCTCTCTTTGGGGTCCTGCAGGGCATTATGACCACTAGGATTGTTCCCCTGAGCTGTGATGAGAATTGTGCCTACTGTGCTCTTGCACTACTGTGCTGGGAAAGGCTTGGATGTGGAGGCTGGGAGGAGCGGGAAGGGGCTGCGGTTCCCCGAGGAGCTATCATCTGGCCAGAGCCAAAGCCGTGGTTGGTTTCCTTCGGCAGAAGCCAGGCCAGGTGAGAGAGAAAACTGGTCCTGGGGGACCAGCTTTCTTGGTCCCACTCCCTCTTGTGTTCTCATCCCTGTGTTTTCTTGATTTGGATAGATTCAGGTTTCTTACTACCCTCCTGGGCAGTATCCGAACTCCAGCCAGCAATACCGATCTCTAAGTCACCCAGTTGCCTACCGCTCGCCGCGCAC